GTGGCAAACACCTGTAATCCTCACTACTCAGAAGACCAAGGCAGGAGGATCACTTGAATCCAAGAGTTCAAGGTTACAGTGAGCTATAATCATACACTCTAGTCTGGGTGACAGAGCAAGACTCTGTCCTAATATATACGTGTGTGTGTGTGTGTGTGTGTGTGTAGAGGTCTTATACTTTTAAAACAATTTTTGCTACTTGCGTATATTTTAATATTTTACTTTAATCTTTTTTTTAAAGTTTAAATCTTAAAAACTGCAATTTCCATTTGGGTTCGCTTGATTTCCATGACATGCCAGGCTAGCCAGGGATTTATAAGCAATAGGAAGGAGAGGAATAGAATTAAATACTGGTTTGTCCAAGTCTGAGAAGAGCCCATAGTTTTCTATTCTTGGACCTGCCATTAAAGGCTTGGTAATGCTCACATTTCCATGATGGAAAGTGATTCTCGGGGCATATATGCACAGAGCTCCCTGCACTGGGCTGCTTATGGTTGGCATGGGTTGACTCTGTGATCTGTAAACGTCAGAAATGTGCTCCTCGACACTCCTGCCTGTAGGTGTGTTCTGTAAGTTGGTGTCCCACATACGCATCTGTTTCGTAGAAGTATTCTCTTGCTAAAGCAGTTTTGATTGTGTGACCTGGACCAAGAAAGGAGTAGGGTGCTCTGGCAGGGACAGAGCTGGCTCAAAACCACCACCAGACATTTTGTTATCAAATGTGGTGATGATGATAGAGGAACCAAGGTGTATATGTATGGGAAAGTGGTCTCCCTCCTTCATGCTCCTCAGGAGGACACTGAAGGGTGGGACAAAGGGTAGAAGCTTCCTCCCATAGCTGACTTGTAGTGGCTCTTGCCAGACATGCAGGCTACAGCACTGCCTTCTGGGAAGCTGGCCCAGGCCCGCCCTTGAGCGACCGACACCACAGGCTGCGTCTCCTCAGTCACCTGTCCTCAGCTCAGCACTACGGGCTCTGAACTTCCTGCCAACCTCCTGGCACACAGAGCTGTATGCTCAGATGACCTGTGGATTGCTGTGTCAAGAGTGTCACTGAACTGGGCCACTCTCTGGACCCCTTCTTTGCCAGAATTGCTGCTTCAGGGCTAATGTCATTTAATTAATCTCCCCTAATGTCAGGAAGTGACGATGAGGACTGCAATGTGCTCAATTTCCTTCTTCTCAGCAACCAAGGCCTTTGGCTTACCCAATGCCTCCTGCATGCCAGGTACTGGGCTAGGCACTGGAATTTAAGGATGAATAAGTCACCAATCATAACTTTTCTTGGGGACCCCAAAGTCTAGGGGAAAATGAAAATCTGCAGAAAATTTGCATAAAATCCACCCCCCAAAAAAACCCCACAGCAAACGGGGATAAGATCTGTGACCAGAAGCACAGGTGCCGAGAGGACACATAGAAAGGTTATCGTACCCAGGTGGAGGAAGGTTTGTGCAACTGTCTAGAGGAGAGGATGCCTAAGCTGGCCTAGAAGCTCGAGGGCCAAGTTGATCAAGGAGATCAACAATCTTGACCTCCACAGTCCAGAGAAAAAGCTGGGTGTGACTGGGGTTGCCACAAAATGTCGTTCAGGACCCAGTCAAGAAAGTAGGCAGAGGCCAGACTTCCACAGAGGCCCATGTAGGTCACCCGCTACCTCGAGTGGCAGAGGGAGTCTCGGATTAACAGGGTATCTCCCTCCTCCTTCCCTCATGTTCTTCCTTTCCTTTACCTTGAACTCTCTGCCTCCTGCATCCGTTCTTCCCACCCACTTCCTTTAGGCTGTCTTAAGGCGTGTGTGTGTGTGTGTGTGTGTGTGTGTGTGTGTGTGTGTCCGGGTTTCACTCTGTTGCCCAGGCTGGAGTTCATGATCAGGGCTCACCATAGCCTCAACCTCCCGGCCTCAGGCAATTCTTCCATCTCAGCCTCCTGAGTAGCTGGGGTTACCAGGTATGCATCACCATGCCTGGCTAATTTTTTACTTTTTGGTCTCACTATGTTGCCCAGGTTGGTCTCGAGCATCTGGGCTCAAATGATCCTCCACCTCAGCTTCCCAAAGTGCTGGGATTACAGACATGAGTCGCCACACCTGGCCTGTGTTCCTTTTTCTTTCCCCATTGACATATGGCTATACTTCTCAGACACACATGTCTATCTTTGTCCATCTGCCAACTTATTTAATTTCTAACATAGCACTTCTAGAAGTAAGAATAGGGAACCTTAAGTCAATAAATACTGTCACTGTTGACAGTGATACACTCAGTTAAGGTGGGAAAAGAGAGAAGTAGATGGGAAATAGACAATACATCACAGGACAGGTATGAAGAGAACGACAGGAGACAGAGGCAAGGGCGTTATAGGCTGAAAAGAGGCCGTTTTGGTTCTATAAGAACAGTCATTTAGAAAATACTTAAAAACTTGTATTCTTTTGGAGCTGAGTTGGGCTAAACATAAAAGCCGCTGAGATTCAAAAGTTTACATTATTTCCCGTTTGCTCCTGTCCCCTTCTCCTCCCCTAGCATGGCCTTGCCCGACTGGCCAATCTCATCTAGTAAGCCATTGCTGATGCTAAAGAAGAAAGAGCTGGGCTAGCCAGACCACCTAATGGTTAGGAGTGGCCCAAGGCCAGCAGGAGTGTCTGAAAGCTTGAAGTGGGAATTGCCGGTGTGTGTGTGTCTGTGTGTGTGAATACAAGGACATCAGACTGTTTATAGACCAGGGCTCTGGGAATAAAAGATTGTTGCAATTAAGTTTTAAAACAATTTAAAGTTACCATCTTACATATTATGATTTTCTTTCCTTCCAAATATTGCGATTGTCAGATCCTTCCTCTAAAAAAAAATTCTGCAAAATCTAAAATGTCAACATGACCAGGAGACTTTGTCTCACATCAGTGGTCACATATCAAAAATTGTTACTGTATTGGCAGTAGTGGGAATCTGCCGGAGATGAGGGGCATACCTCATCAACAAGGGTACCCGCAAAATGAACATTTGTATACCTAACCCGGAATTGTACTCCACATCTTTAAAATTTAAAAAAAATTTTTTTTAATTGTTAATGTAAATCTTGAGTTATGCTAAAATTGCGTGTAGCTTTCAAACTCGAGGTGAGTAAAGAACTATGAATTTGGGGCATAAATAATGGAATGAATTTGTGTTGCTTGGAGCAGGTTTTTTGGCAATGATGCCGATCTGTCTCCCTATAACATGGGTATAGAAATTAAACACTCCCTTTTCTCCCAGTCTCTGCCTCCTGTAACTTAATTGGTCGTGAGGGATAGCAGCTGATTTATTGGATCGGGCAGTAACAAGGGGACAGGACAAGGAACCCTAAGGCCTTGCTAACAGGTTATTATACACCCACTTTCTGCCTGGGGCATCTAGGTTTCCCACATGTGTGGTCAGAACCACATCAACTTCTGCCTTGACCCCAGTCCTGCTACATGGTCCAGGATTTCTGAACTCTTGTCTGGGCTGGAGGCCTCAGGTTTCCTGAGAAATGAACTTCTAAAAAGAGTTTGACGCCAATTTGCTATTAGTCCTCCCACCCCTCAACCTTCAAATCAGTACAATCAGCAAATGCCACACCCACTTCTCTGGATGGCACCCACAGCTCTCCCAGGATCCTTCAGGGACACCTCCCTCCATCTTCTCTCCAAGGTGGCTCACAACAACCCTGTTCCCTCTACTTCCACCGGCCCCGGCAGCCATTCACTAATAATAAAATCATCAGGGAATAAGCAACTGCAAAATATGTGCAGACTATTTCATTTAGTCCTTACAGCATTCCTGTCTGGTAAGGATTATCTCTGGTTACAGGAAAAGAAGTCATCACTTCAAGGTCATATAGCTACTAGGAAACAGAGCCAGCATGCAAATCCAGGTTAGCCTGACCCTGCCCTATTAGCTCAACCCACTGCCTCCTCTGAGCAGTGATGTAACAACACTCATTGAGCATCTGTTGGAGACAGAGCACAGAGATAAGTGCATTCAAAGAGACAAAAGTCTCAAATCCTCGCCTTTCAGGAAAAATCAAGGTAGGAGAACACACACGTGGAGCAAAGCAGCACCTTTTAGAAAGCCAACCTCAAATGCAGGCAGAGCCTACACTTGTGCAAATTGAACTTTGGAGCAGGGAGGAGTGCTGAGCCCAGGCATAACAAGTTGCCAGGGAAATAGGAATCTTGGAAGCCACGTTGGAAGAGCAGAAATTAACCCAAAGGTAGTATGAGCAACTCCAGGTAGAAGCAATGACACATTCTGGAGCCACGGAAGGAGAATTAAATGTCTCATGGAGAAGATAGAGAAGCAGTTTGCTACTGAGAAAAGGCGGGGGGGGGGCGCCTTTCTGAGGGTGGAACCACTGCTGGGGTGAGGAGGGAATCTTCTGGGAACCTCACCACCACTCAAGTCAGAGGTAGAGTTGAGTAGCTTGCAGTATTAGGCAAGAGGGAGCAGTGGAGAGTTCTTTACCTCGGGAGAGAAAAAATGCAAATGGCGTCTCGGGAAAATCCTTCTAATGGGCATTTCTGATTAGCCGGGACTAGTTACCAAACGAACCTACTCTTGAGTTGGGTCACAGAATTAGAAAGGGCATCTAACAATCTTAATGACAAAATCATTATTAGTATTAAAAAATTTAAATTTTAAAATTAAACATATCATGGAACAGTGGATATTTCTAAGGTGAAAGTGAATATTTCGGAATGAATCAGATTTTATTTTCTTACAGATGCCCCGGCTTGTACAAGGTGAAAAGGATAGCAATGTGGGTTTTAGAAAAATGAGTCAAACAATTAGGGAAAGTTCTATATATTTATAGACTATATATAGAGAGAATGCATTTACCGTCATTCCTAAGATGATATTGGGGTTTTTCCCTCCCTCTTTTAAAGTCATCTTAAAAGAGACAAAGTACTTTTAGGGGATGTTCCAACTAATTTGAGAAATACAAGCATTGACTAAATTAAGTTCTCCCCAAGGCCCGAACCCCTGGCTTACCTGAACTTCCAACGCTGAGACACAGGAGTCCCCCCAACCAGAAGCATCTCTCCCAGGGGCCTGGGGACATTGCAGAGCTGGAAGTTTCTGAGCTGGTTAGGGCAGAAACCCCTAATGCCAAAGAGATCACTTAACCCGGTCTCCCACCAAGCACCCACTTGGGTCTCACTAATCATTAACTGGCCTTGTGACCTGTAAAAGAAGAATAAATTCTTCCTATTTATTTAACCTCTAGGGTTTTCAGTTTCTTCTTCTCAATGAAAATAAATACACTTTCTTTTCAAAAAAAAAAAAAGGGGGGGTTACGTTGAAACACACTGTCCTTCCTCTCTGAGCCAAACATGATCAGGAAACTATTTCCTGCACCTCTCCCACTTCCCATTATAAAATGTTAATAATAACAAAAGCAGACATCTTTCATCTCTAGATGGCAAAAAAAAAAAACCCTTCCCCCAAAAGAAGAAAATAAAAAGCTCATTGTATTATAATGATCTGTGGACATATGTTTCTCCCTAGAAGATTCTAAGTAACTTGAGAGCAAACCCCTTCTCTTTTCGCTTTTGAATCCCTGATGCCTAGCCCAGAGCTGAGTCCATAACTGAAGTTCACTGTACATTTTGTGGACAGAATGGAGGAAATGAAGTTTGTCTTTGGAAAGTACTATCCTTTCATAGACTCTTGGGGCTCAAGTCCCACCTTTAAGAAGAGTTGTCCAACTTCCTGAATTCGCAAGTAAAGAAACTGCATATTAGAAAAAGAAAATGACCTATAGAGACCCCGTCAGTGGAAGGGGAAGAGCTAGGCCTGGAGCCAGGGTGGTTCCAGTGTACACTGTGCCTTCTCCACCCAAAAGAAACCTCAGAAAGCGATTTCTAGTCATAACAGGGGCAGAGGGCGCAGGGCAGGGCCCTTGACACATTGCTGTGAGGCAGAAAACCCACAGGTAGGGCCAGGATTGTCCTTTCTGAAAAAGAACTCTGTGAGGTGAGTACTATTTACATATGTGTTTCACACAGCTGGTAGGCATGGAGAAGTTACGTAATTTGCACGTGATCGTGCAGAGGTGGGATTTCAAGCAGGACAAGCTAGCCCCAGAATCCATGCTCTGAGCAACTGCTCTCTACAGCAATAAGCCCTGAAGAGGCACTGGTGCTCTGTCATCATCAAGACTGAAGACAAGGATAAACGGGTTTTGGAGGGGCCAGCCCTCACTTTCTCTTGTGCACACTGATCAAGTGCTACTGCCAGGGAGGAGCGTGGCACAGCAGAGGTCACTACTGAAGGTTGTTCTGATGTCAGAAACCAAGCTAGGTGTATTAGTTCAGGCCCTCAGAGAAGAAGACACCAGGAGGGACTAGATGTGCAAGAGATACATTAGGCTAACAGCTGTGAAGAATAAGGGTGCTGAAGAAGTTGGGGAGAGCCTTAGACTATGATGCAGGTCTGACACTTGTGAAGGAGAGTGAGCTGGAAACAAAAGATTATCTAGGAAGACTGTTGGTCTGCAGCACAGTTTCTAGAATATTCTGGTCGGGCCAATGGGGGAATCATCAGGCCAAAGTCTCCTATTAAAGCAGTTCTGGGTTGAGCATGATGACTCATACCTGTAGCACTTTGGGAGGCTGAGGTGGGAACATCATTTGAGGCCAGGAGTTTGAGACTAGCCTGGGCAACATTGTGAGACTCCATCTCTACCAAAAAAAAATTTTTTTTTGAGTTGGCGTCACTCTTGTCGCCCAGGCTGGAGTGCAGTGGCATGCTCACAGTCACCACAGCCTCTACCTGCTGGGCTTAGGTGATCCTTCCACCTCAGTCTTCCAAGTAGCTGTAAAAACTTTTTTTAAACAAGCTGAGCATGGTGGTGCACACCTATAATCCCAGCTACTTGGGATACTGAGGTGATGGGAGGATCACTTGAGTCCCAGAGTTCAAGGATATTGGGAACTGTGATCACACCACTGTACTCTAGCCTGGTTGACAGAGTGAGACCCTGTCTCTTAAAATAAGTTAAGTAATAAAGTAGTTCTGTGTCCTGTAGGAACAAGCCTGGTGTTAGCAGCTGCACCCTAATCAGTCACTGAGGGGTAACTGAGGGTCAGCCTCAGTACAAAGGCAGGTAGATTCAGAAGGCAGCAGCTGGAGCCATCAGTCATTCATATTCCCCACAGCAGGAGGTCTGAGGGATATTTTCCCAGCCACCCACACCATGACCAGAAGGAGTTAAGGTAGGGTGCCCTTGTGTGTGGCATGAATACAGCTGCCATTGAGAGGGCACTTTCTCTTTCACATCTAACACCAAGCATGGTGCTCTCCAAGTGGGGTTAGAGCAGTCTTTTCCAGAACCACCTGCCTCAGAATCATCTGGGACAGATTGCCGGGCTGACTCCAGACACATGGAATGAAAATCTTTGAGACTGGATCCAGGACTCTAAGCTCAAACAGGTTCCTCGGTGATTGTGCACATGCTGGGACCGCTAGGCTTCTGTTAATCCTACAATAGCCCTCTTCATTTCACCAAAACAAAAACAAAAACAAAAAAAACCCCAAAGCTCAGAAAGGACAGGGACTAGGAAACACTGTTTCAGGGGGCCAAAGAAGTGGGGTCCTTCTGGAAAGTGAGAGTGTATCTTTTTTTTTTTTTTTTTTTTTTTTTAGTCAGAGTCTCACTCTGTCACCCAGGTTGGACTGTAGTGGCACACTTATGACCACCGCAGCCTTGACCTGCTGGGCTCAGGCGATCCTTCCACCTCAACCTTCCAAGTAGCTGGAACTACAGGCATGCACCACTATGTCCAGCTAATTTTTCTTGATTTATTGTGGAGATGAGGTCTCAACAAATTGCCCAGGCTGATCTTGAACCCGTGGCATCAGGCAATTCTCTCACCTCAGTCTCCCAAAATGCTGGCTTTATAGGCATGAGCCACTGTGCCCGGCCTGAGAATGCATATTTTATAAGGTGAGGATAAAGACCTTTCTACCCAGAGATACGTAGGGAACTACAATTGATATTCAGGATATACTGTTTGTCTCCTCAAGGAGAATAGCAGCTGCAAGAGGGCAGAGTCCTGTCTGTTCTGCTCACTGAGATATCTCAGAACCAAGCACAGTGCTGGCCACACAGCCAGCACTCAATAAATATCTGGTGAGAAAAGGCGTTGTGCAACTGGTAGGATGTACTGGTAGGTCTGCACCCCACCCATTCAGAGAAGGGGTCCTAATTTCCCTTTTAGTCAGGGTCTTGCTCTGTCAGGCTGAGGTGTAGTGGCGTGATCATAGCTCACTGCAGCCTTGAACTCCTAGGTTCTAGTGATTCCCCACCTCGGTTTGTTGAGTAACTAGGACTATAGGCACACACCACCACTCCTGGCTAATCTTTAATTTTACGTAGAGAAGGGCGTCTCACTAAATTGCCCAGGCTGGTTTCAAATTCTCGGCCTCCAGTGATCTCTCCCAAAATGTTGCGATTATAGGTATAAGCCACCACATCTGAACCCTAGCCACCCTTTCTGAAGTGGAGTCAGATGGTTTTATTTGCCTAGGATCTGGGTACACGGGGAGACAAGCAAGTGACAAGGAATTGATGTTCAAAATTCCCTGCCCATCATTCAATGCCCATTATTCCCTGCCCATTCATGGTGCCTAGAACAGTGCCTGACATATAATAGGTACTCCCTGTATACTTGGAGAAAGAGAAAAAGAAGGAGTAAGGGAGAGAGGGAGGGAGAGTGGAGATAGGGAGGGAGAGAGGGAAAGAGAGGAAGAGGGGGAAGAAGGGGAGGGCGGAGAAAGGAAACCCATGGGCTACCTGGCACTCCTGGAACCCGCTGAATCCCTTCCAGTCCTCCCCATCTGCCTGGTTCCTGCTCAGAGTCCCAGCTCCTCACCTTCTTCCAGGATCTTTAGCCAACAGTTCCACAAATGACTCTGCCTTTCTTTCTCTAGTTAGTGTGTGAGGGTAGGGAAGGAATGGTGCATCGCTGCCCTCAGTGTGTGTGTGTTGGGGGGAAAGCAATGGAGCTATAAATTGATCTGAGGAAATAATAATTCTAGGCCTCACCAGTTTATGACTACAAAATGAAGCCACATTAATTTTTTTTTAAAGTCAAGATCTCACTCTGTTGCCCTGGCTGGAGTGCAGTGGCACAATCATGGCTCATTTCAGCTTCGACCTCCTGCACTCAGTTGATCCTTCCGCCCCAGCCTCTCGAGTAACTGGGACAACTGGCATCCACCACTACACCCAGTTAATTTTTTTACTCTTTTTTTTTTTTTTGTAGAGATGAGTTCTGGCTATTTTGCCCAGGCTGGTCTTGAACTCCTGGGGTTCAAGCAATCCTCCTGCCCTGGCTTCCCAAAGTGCTGGAATTACAGGCACTAGCCACCGCACTTAGCCCACATTAATTTTTTAATGTGTTTTTTAATGGTTCTACATGTACATGCTTTTAAAAAATCCAAAAATACAAAAGCATATAGTGAAAAATAAATCTTCATCCTCCTCCCCCAGCTCCCCCATCCTGTGGAAGGCAACCACCAGCAACATTTTCTTACATACCCTTCTAGAGATAGGCTCCCTCACACTTTTTTGACTTTCACACACTTGTTGACCTACTGCACAAACCGTTTCAAACCTTGCTTTTCACATTAAACAAAATACTCTGGAGATGTCTCGCTCTTTTTTAAAGGTTGCATAGAATCCCATTCAATAGAATATGTCGTGAAATACTAGTGTCCAGATGGTTCAAGCCCTTACCCTACTCAATTTTCAGAAAGCCCAACCTTTTGTCAGGTTCTTCTCCAATTGGCAGTGAGGAGCATGGTTCTGGAGTCTCCACTCCTGACGTCTTGTGTGTTCCATAGGTGAACACGTGTGCTCTCACACACCCCCACAAACGCACATACACACATTCTTAGAACAAGCCACACATAGGAGCATAGTGCAGGACTGGGTTAGGTGGCCTTGGATCCTCCCAGTTCTGCTCACTTCTCACTTGCAGTTCTCAAGAATAACTGTAGAATGGGCTGGAAATGCAGCATCCTGAGATAGTGGGAAACTGGCCGGAACAGTCCGGGATTTGTTCCAGTTCCTCCAGCCCCTCCCTGCAAACAGGATGTCCCTCAGTACTTTAGTCCAGTCGGTCCTGTTACCCTGGGTAAAATCC